TCCCCAGTCCCACAATATTATCTTTGGATTAATGATTTTCGAGTATGATATAAATAATATACACTATACAGTATATAGATGGACGATGGTTTCAGTGTTCATTGCAAACGCCAAACGGCTTACGAAATATGAAGATGAACCAAATACATGATATTATATTATCATTATTTTATAATAATTAATAATAAACATATTTAAAGTTAATTATTTTATGTTATTATACCTACCCACCCCTTATTTTCAAGGTGTAGCGACTGCTACACCTAATAATAGGGTTGGGCGCCACTGCGCATATCGATATTTGTACATACATATTTATATAATATAGTGTCTATTTTAATTAAATTGAATTGTGAGTGATTTTTATTACTTAAATCCCACATCACTATATCATGATAGCCAGTGTGTAGAATCAGTAGGTGCAACGGTATATAAACTTATTAAAATTGCTGCCCGTTCCTATAGTTATACATTTGATAAATAATTATTAATTTACGCAGTAAGACTTATTTTAATTTATTCATTATAACTGTTTGTCATAAGGGCTCTTTATGTGCAGTTGGCTCCTTACAACTAGTTCCTAGTAAATCATTAAACCTCCATAGATAGTATATGCCATAAGTTTATTAATTTAGTTACAACAATATTGACAATAACACACTAAATAAAATAATATTATAATTAACAATCAATCAATATAAAAAAGACTCAGGTAGATGTTTATGACGGTGGTATAGACTATGAAGCTGAAGCGATGGCGGGAGGTCGCGCGCACAACTTGCGACGACGGAACGAACGGTGACGATCGCAACACAACGAGGCCAAAACGACGGCGAATATTCGCGCGCACAACTTGCGACGACGAAAAGGACGGTGACGACCGCAACACAACGTGGCCGGAACGACGGCAGATACTCGCTTGCAAAACTTACGATGATGTAATATGGCGGTGTCGACCGCAACACAACGTGGCCGGAACGACGGCGAATACTCTCGCGTTCAACTTGTGGCGATGAAAGGACGAAAACGATCGTCAACGATTATGCCGGAACGACGGCAAACCGCAAGAGGGTGAGCAATCCAAAAAAAAAAAAAACCGATGTTGAAAAAAAAAAAAAATTGTCCGGTAGATCTAAGAAGTTGGTACAAAAAAAATGTTCTGCATGCGCCGACCGCAAAAATTCAACATCAAAACAAAAACCGGGCCCGGGTTTGTCGTTGACAGCGCCCCAACGACATTTTTCAGAGTTGCCAACTGTAAAAAACTGCGTACGTCTGGAAGCAAATTGCTAGCTCTCAAAACGGCACTGCCAACTGCTACACCGGTCTTATTAACATGGCCAGTTCCGTGAACTATAACCAATAAACAATGTATATAATATAATACTTTAGGTCGTATAATATGATCTTAATTAAGATAACATTTATATAAATTATTACATTATAAACAGTTCAGAAGCATAATTCATTTTCATATGTGCATAAATAAATACCAACCAGAAATACTGAAAATTTAACTATGCACTTTTGACATTCTCATATAGTTCTTTCACCAAACAATATAACCAAAAGTTAACATTTTCTTGACTACCATAATTCTCATTACACATTGTCTGATCGTTATTTGGCAGTTTTAACTTTGAACAACATTATTCCGTAAATTAAATCAGGTCACTATTCTACCACATAGTTATAAGACAAGTAATATAATTTTAAGATTATATCATATTATATAGTCTCCGAGCTTTTCAATACTCAAAGTAATTTAGCATTCCGAGATATCGTACATTGACTAGTTTCATCACTTTAAATCTATAGATCCATTTATTCCGAATTTTTCGAAAACCCTACACTGCTTTATAATTTATTGGCTGACATATTAAAATAATTATCTTGAAATGTCAAGCCTATTCAAGCCTTTTTTAATCGTAAACCTTTAATAACTAGGAAATAGAATGTTTTTTCTTTGTCACGTGTACAGTCACTGTAACTTTTTTGAAATAAATTCAAAATCTATTAAATTAAGTACTTCTAAATTTCGAATCATTTTCACTAGAAAATGTGTTATAATTAAAATTAAATTTTGTAAAATGTTAATAAAATTAAAAATTATTAAATTAAAGTAAACGGTTTTAAACTGTTTAAACAGTGGTTTTACTGTGTTTCGTGTTGAGTCAAAAATACTCACACTAATTAAGATGGGTTAAAACAGCCAATGTAAGGAGATCGACGCGGGCACCTCTGGCCGTATGCGTTAGAGATCTCGTTATATTACTATTTCATGGTATATTTTATTTTTAACCAAAGAAACGTCAAAAAATTATAAAGTAGTCCTCACATAATGAGTAATGCCGACAGTGTTAATAATACTGCTAATGTACTACCCACATGGTCAGTATAGATTATTTTAAATACTCAGTTTTTTTGGCATTCGACTGGTGGAGGTGTGAAATTCAATGAACAGCAGTGTCAATGTGACTTTATTTATAAGAAAAAACAAATGATAAAAATAAGTTAATACTGACAGTACATTAGTACTTATATCACACGATCAATATTACTGTCAGTAATAATGATCATGTGAGGATCACTTAATAATTACGTATATTATATATATTATTAAATATAAGTATTATAATGCGTTATTTTGTTATTTTGTAGGAAGCAGATTTTATCAAAGGGTAAAATGAATAAATTGATTCAATTTTATTCATGTATCATTAAAAATAAATATAATACAAGTATCTATACGTACTTAATCATTTGTTTTATTTATACAAAATCTCTAAGCCGTATAACAAACTTAAAATTAAATTTAAAATTTTAATTTTGAGTCCAAGAACTCGAAAAATATCCTGAACACCCTAAAAATGTTAAAAAAATTTAAAAAATTACCTTAACATTATAAATACAAAATAAAATAGAAAATAAATGTTTGATAGTGAGCATCATACAAAATGTTTTGAAAGTAATGACTAGGGTTCGGGACTTATTGAATTTACATATTTTTATGGAATAGTCCGAAAAATTGTCAAATAAGACAGAAATTTATTTCAAGTTTTAGCGAATTTAAAAAAAATTCAAATTTTCGCATATATTACAATTTTTATGAAAACATGCATTTTTTTATGCATGTATTATCCTATATTAATTACGACATAGAATATGTCTCACAATATTGTGGATAATATGGACGCTTCTGTTTTTCATTTAAGAAAAATAATATAAAATAAGAGTTGTATGATTTTTTTTCTTATATTCCGAGCAGCTTGAAAAATGTAATCATTCCACAATTTGCCAATTGATAATTTATTGATAAATCAATTTGATTAATCAATATTTGATAAATCAATGAACTTACTTTAGCCTAACGGTATTCAGCATGATAAAATGTTATTGTTTCTAAGCGACGCTGCCCCCTATATAGTAAAAGCTGGGGAAGCAATTAAATTATTTTATCCAAAAATTATACACGTTAGGTGTTTGGCCCATGCATTTCATAGGATCGCAGAAACTGTACGAACAGGATAGTCAAAAGTTTATAAACTTATCGTAAATGTAAAAAAGGTTTTCCGCTGTTACGTGCCACCGGCTCGATTTCAAGTATTGCAGTCTAAGATGTATTTAATTTTAATAAACATGAGACTTTTAATACGTTTAATACATTTATTTTATAACTCAAAGTGTTAACAAAAATTCTGATACAGAGTGACGTGAAGTTGCTTGTTGTTCCATGACTAGAACTCATCTGAATTGTGGTCATTTTGATCCCTCTTTTATATGGCTCCATTGACGTCATAGGACTTGTTGTTTCGGCATTATTCCTTATTTAGCAATAGGCCATTGTTCGTTTGACCTACTTCATTATTCTGTAAATTACATATTTTAATATATATTACTGGTTTATGGCCAACTAATTAAATGTAGGTGTTTCTAGGAATATAGATTACATATTTTAATATATATTACTGTTTATGTGGTAGCCCATAACACCGCAAAGCACTTTCTCGCATTCAATATTTTAAATCAATAGCCCCATCAGTATCACTACCACCTGAACCAATTTTGATAAGAAGGGGTACTTGGATTAAGGCAGCTACTGTGAAAATTTTGAGTTAATAAAATTAATCATCAATTATTTTGATGACAATGATGTTTCAATAAAAAATTCAAATAAGTATCTCTCGGATCAAAATGTTGAAGCACAATTAGTATTCATAAAATGAAATTTTGGATTTTTACCAGCTTTAATAACAAGACTTGAAACACAAGGAATTCCATTGATAGATTCAATTTCTATTGTCGAAGAAGCCAAAAAAAAAGTTAATTCAAATAAATAGAGAAATGGGGAAAATAATAAGAATTAAGATTGAATCTATTTTATCCAAAAATAAAGAGTATCAAGCAGTTTTCAAAATATCAGATATACGAGTATCAAATGAAAAAAAAGAAGACAAATCTAGTTTACCTGAAGATTTGAGTTTAAATGATCTCACATATTGTAAGAACTATCCAATAACATCAGTTGACGTAGAACGTTCGTTCTTAATGTACAAAAATTTACTCACTTTCAATCGACGTTCATTCAAGTTCGAAAGTATCAAAAAATCTTTAATTATTCAATGTAATTTCCAAGGTAAAATAACTTATAAAATAATCAGTAAAAATAATAAGTAAAGGAATTTTATTTTATTTTATAGAGCCATTAAAAAAACCATGAAGAAAACTGACGACCACTTTTAATAATATAAATACAATTTTTTTAAGATTTTTAAAATTTTTATAAAATAATAAATTATTTTCACACATTATTATTATACATTTAAAATAAAAAAAAATAATTGCATATTTGAGTGCATATAACATTTTTTTGCATATTTTTGTGCATTTATGATAATAATATATTGTATTTTTGCATGCATATTTTCATAGTTTTCCATGCAATAAGTTCCGAGCCCTAGTAATGACCTATAGTAATTAAACGCAATTCGATATTTCAGGCATCCGTTGTGTATAACCCCATAGTGTACGGTCTTTCGCATCCTCATTTCCGGTCATCCGTCTGCAACTACATATCAGGTTGTACTACAGTGGGCCACAGTCATACGGAGATCTGTACGCCGGGACGTAACAATCGGTTGTCCACGAACAAATGTCTAAACCGTTTCGCATTGCTCGCACATCGCAATCAAAACCGAGCAAATGTCGAATTGAAATGCGTTCGTCACCGGAAAGCTCGGCCGAATTCAAATTCCATTTGCATGGACTATTACAGCGAACCCGATTGTCGGTGAGTTTACTCCCCTCACATCTCTCTTCCACGTATTACGTTGAATCTTTCGTTTGATTACTACGAAAGTAAACGTATTGTGGAATGATCAATTCAAATATTGTAATGATCTCGATATTAATATCATATAGGAGTTTAACGCTGACAATGGAACCGAACCAAGGTTCGGCGATCATCAAAATCGATAAAGTACCCTTCAAAGTAGTCATGTCCACTATTAAAAGTAAAAGCATCAACGACAAAATAAGTGCAAGTAAGAGCGAATTTGTTTTAATTTAAATCAATTGTGTACTTGGTCAGATGTTTCGATTGATAACCGCGTGTTGGTGGCGAATTTATATATATATATATGTTACCGGCAATATGGATAATTCAGGTATTTTGCAAATACCTAGGCATTATGCTAATTGTCGACCTATTTTAGGCAATGTAAATAAAACATATGATCTTCAATATTATTTTACATATAACCTAGATATTTTATAAAATACATAGACAATGGCAATGCCAAATGCCAATTTTTTTTTTAGTCATATTATAAAACATTTTATTATATGTTATATTAAATTATGATTCTTATAATTATTATACATTATAACTCTTACTTAATACATAAAAATTAAATTTTTATCTATTAATATATTATAACTATTATATAAATATATTACTTAAACTACTATTTACTTATTATAACATGTTGTAGAAAAGTGAAATTTTGAGATGCACAAAATGTTATTTCTAAGGCAAATACACTTTTTATTTTGACACTTAGACTTGCAAACATATTTTAAAAATCGTTGGCCAATTCCTGTGGATTGAATTTTTATCAACTTGTTTTACTATTCATCAGATAAAAAAAAAGTATTAGTGGCCAAATTTTTAAAAAAATTTTGTAGTTTGTTATAAAAATTTGACTTCATATAAATCGTATGTATAGTTACAACACCAAAACGAGACACGAAAATTACGAGAAAAATGATGAAATTGTAATAAAATTATTAGTATGTTCAATATTGTACCTCTGAATAATTATTATAGTAGTAAAATAATATTAATCTTTATTGCGTTAAATTGTGCACGCACATTTATGATAGACGATAATTTAAGTCGTTGGTAATAGGCGATGCCTAATTTTGTTTGTTTTCATCATATTGCCAACGCTACGTTTGGCATTATACATAATAACTAGGCAAATCTCGAATTATGTATATTGCCGAGTGATTTTTGGCATTTTATATAATGCCTAAACATTTTGCAAAATACCGGATTATCCATATTGCTGGTAACATATATATCGTACGATTATTTCCGTATCAAGGGATGGGCTCAAGGGCCAAGATAAGAACCTTGGAACTTGAAGGGTATCAAATTTACAAAAATTACATTATATTTATCAAATATCATAATTTAACATTTTTTTAATTTTTTTTTAAAAAAATAAGTCTATTAATATGATAGCAAATAATAATAATAGATATTTTTAAAAAAAATATGTAACACAATTTATATCTTCAAAGGCTTTCGATATATATTAAGCCTTGGGACTTCTTATACCTTAAAAACAACTCTTGAGTACAATCCAAATCGGTTTGTACATCAGTGAGTACACTGTCTGAGGTAGCCATAGGCTTAGCTAGTCGGCTCCGGACAAGTTCGACACAAACGATTTCGGTCTTAAAACGAAACTAAAATATACTTTTGTTTTAGTCCCGGTGAAAAATGTAAATATCTCACACCTCTACAGCGTGGCTTCGAGCGAATAACTAATTATAGTCTTAAACAATAACAGTAGACAATTGCCGCGAGAAAAAAAATGAATTTCAAGTACAGTATTGAGATTATCTAGATAAATTATTTAGATAAAAATGTTTGTTATCTTTATCTTATCTAAATAATAAAAAATGAAGCATTGAAAATTATTGAAAAAATTATTAGAGATAAAAAAAATCACTCATCTAGATCAGGGGTCGGCAATCCGTGGCCCACGGGCCGTATGTGACCCGTGAAGCCATTTTTTATGTCCCGCACAAAGGTGGTTAATTTTTGTGTTTTATTTTTATTCAATAAAATTTTTCATACAATTTTCAATGCTATTCAATTCTTTTTTCGTTATAAATAAAGCCTAATCCAATCGTTAATAGTTGATGTTTATTCTATACAGTTATATAGTCGGTTTAATCAATAAAATTGTTATTATTATCTAATCGGAGTGGAAGATAATGATAGATGCACTACTCAGTCATAGGATAAATTAAATATACTTATATATATATTTAAAAATTAAAATTTTAAATATATTTAATCTATGTATTTAATACATATGTATTAGGGTGATCCTTATTTTTCGAATTGAAAAATTTGATGAGGAGTACCGCAAATTTTATTCTAAGTATTAAAAAAATAATTATGATAAAGTTTGAGCGTGATAAGTCTACCCCTTCCCGTGCCCCAAAGGGGTTGAAGTTTTTGTAATTGGGGATAAATTTTCATTTTGTGAGTGTACTTTCCTAAATATTGAGGTTATGCAAAAATCCTAAAGTATTATTATTGTAGCTATATATATTGACTAAATAAAAGTTTCTTATAAATATGTTGTAAAGTTGATGGTTTCCTGTTAATTAAAAAAATACTGAATGTTTAACAAAACTAATTGTCATTTATCAGCTAAGACTTTTTCAACAATTTTAAATGACTTATCAATGTTTAGGTTTGTAATCAACAGATGACATTGTTTTTCAGTACTATAATAATAATATTATAATACATGCTAATATTTTACACAATTAAGTAGTATGGCTATCTGCTCTACCATGTAACGATACAGTTCAAACAATTAATATTTAAAGGTTTTAAATATTAATACTATTAGTGCAACTACTCCCTCAGAATGTCGGGTCTTGTGTATACATAGGAAAGTGTTGCTACAACAATCACAAATTGAACTCAAATCAACTTCATTGACTGGGACGATTCGCCTTAATTTTGTAAATAAATAATTCTAATTTTGTTTTTATGATATACTAGTATTTTTGGTGACGGTATATCGTGTAACGTTTGACTCTCCTCTATGTGTCGGATTGTCAAGGTATACTTATATATATATTTCCAAGTATATTGGACAGTGTTTTTATATAAATAGATGATAATAATATTTATTTTTATTTTTTATGAATAAAATTACAAATATGACACAAACAAATATAGCATTTATATGAAGATACATTGATATTTTTTCTCCGATAAGAAAATATTTAGACTATAAGCTGAGTATTTTTAGAAAATAGAACCACGAACACATTATATCATTGACAATAACACTTATCGTATTTTTATCTACATGCCATAGCCATATTATATTAAATATAATAAATTTAATAAGCAAGTAATAGAAATAGAACATAATATTAAATTGCCATTATCGATAAATCTGTCAGTTTGTTTAGATCAATGGTTTTCAAACTGGGTGCCGCGGCACAATGGTGTGCCGCGAGCATCCACTAAGTGTGCCGCAGTCTTCAGAAAAATGTTTTCCATAAATAACTGATTGCATTAAATTGTGATATAAGAAAATAAATGTCTTCAAACGTAATGCATCATTATGCACTTATCAATCGAAAGTTAATAGGAATTAAGTGATAAGATAAGTAATCTTAGATAACTATTGAACTATAAATTTTAAAATATATAGGTAATATTATTAGACCCCAGACAGTTTATTGCAACTGGCCGTACCGTTTACGCCGTATTCGTAGTGTAGTTTTTCAAACGTCCGTTACCCTGCCCCCCCCCCATCCAGAAATGTGTGATTTCTTTAAAGCAAATTATTAGTACGTAATTTGTATGAATTTGTACGACCATTTTCAGAATTTGTATGGAGCTCGTTCACCGAGAAAAATTCGTTTTTCGCGGGAGGGGCTGGAATAACGTTATTCCAGTCCCGCACACTAGGTTAGGTTAACTTTTAGAAATGATTCAAACTAGTATACAGTTTAGATATTTTAGAGTAGTAGATAATTATAACTATATTATTTATTAATTATAATTATTAATAATAATATATAATAATAAAATATGTTGATGAATGCTAAATATTTATTTCACATAACTATAGGTACATAACTTTTCATTATCTTGTATACAGTAATAACTAATAAATAATAAAATGCTATTTGAAATACTGGCATTGAATTTAATGATGAAGAAAAATTCTGTATGCATAAAATCTCTTACATCATTATATTCATAATTTTATTATTATTGTTTATACAAAGGCAAACACACTATTTCTATTATAAACATATATTAGTTTGATAACAATGGCGAGGGATAAAAATAGTAATTATTTTTATTTTCTTAAGAAACATGCGATAGTATGTATTTTACTCGTATTTATTATATTACATATAATATTATATAAACTAATAACAGTTTATTTCAATCATTGAGTTCTTCAGTATTGTGTTTACTTTTGGAACTTTGAAGTGGGGTAGTGTTTTTGTAAATGTTTCATTTTTTTTCTCTTTTGAGAAATTTTTAGAAATATAATTCTATAAAATTATAATTCGTCAACGATATTTGAACGATATCAGGAAGAAAACCAGCAGTCAATTCTTCTAGGATTATTGACGTTATATTGCACTTCAAAAATCGTGCCATAAGTTTAAATGACAATAAGCATAACTACATATTATATATACAATTTATTTATTCCCATGTTTTATAATAATAAAAGAATATTAATTATTAAAAAAAATGAAAAATGACCTTTTTTGCTACATAATTCTAATTTTAAATTTTTTGTAATTACTTTTATTCTACTGACAATTTTTTATATCGAATACATAATAATTTCACATGAAACATTAGTAGTTTCTTTGACCGGTATTGGTTTTTTTTTAGGTCGTCAAATAACTCCCAATGTTCATTACTTCTTTTTACGTATGTTGTATAATGGCCTATAGAATTTCTTAGATTATTATTCCCTCTGCGAAAATGTATTACTCCTCGAAGTTCATACGACTTTTCATTAAGAGTTATACTTTTTGGAATATCACATAGATTTATATCTAATGTATATCCTGCATCATTGCTGTGTTCAACGTTTACACCTGAAAAAATATTAGGTATATTCAAAATGTTGACCTACGATAAGTACTTAAGTTAATAAAAAGATAATCATACCTTTCCAAAACAGAATTTCAATGAAAATAAGCACTGGCGAAATCTTTGATTCAATATTTTGAAACCCAGGGCAGTTTGATGAAGCGCTATTGTGCAAACATGCAAGTT